GTCCCTGCATAAAGCAAGGATCATCTTCATGAAGACATCATGAGGAGGCGCAACCCTTAAAACAAAAACAAAATGCAACACAAGGATAGATTAGGGGAAAAACATCATATTATATCAACAAAATGTGACACACAATGTTTATGAAAAAAAAAACTCTGCATTGAGCACATTTAATTAACCAGAGGAGTAAGTGAGTTTAGGGAGCCATGTATCTGAAGCCATGTATGTTGTATGCACTTGTGTGAATATCTGAAAAATGAGCCAGAAGAATCGAGTCCCCAAAACCCACCCAGCCATAGTGTAACAATGATGTTAACTGTTCATTCTGAGTGACCTTCGGCTTACTCCAGAAACAAGAATAAAGGAGTGAGAGGGAGAAGGTGGGGGGGCAGAGCCTCAGTCGACATAAACACCAGGAAAATTTGGTTCCACAGCTCTTCAAGGCCATGTAGGGGAGAGCCGAATCTGTAATCAGTTGTTTGGGAACAGAGAAAATGTTTTGGGCCAGGCAGACAATAATAATTTTCCAACTGCCTTATTGTCTGCTGGTACAACCCAATGTGGTGAATCCAATCAGACAAATAGTGTGGACAATCTCACCAAGCCGAGCTATCAGCTTCTCCAAGATCAATTCCATCTCACCAGCAAAGTCCAGGAACCACAGCCAGCCAGCGACCCTCAGCAGAACCGCTTGCAGACCAAGTCCCAGCTCGCACAAGGCAAAATTCTGAGTGCTGAAAGAACGGCMATCCTTCATAYTGGTCAGGCAGCCAGGAAAGGGCCTGAATAGCCACTGACGCTGTTTTGTAGAACACCAGGAGACCACAAAGCCAATCTGAAGAATCCAGTGATCAGAATCCAAATACAGTATACTATATCCAGATCAGAGCAGAACAGAGKTCCCACCTTTGACATGTCCTCCCATGGAAGAAAATTTGTTCCAAAAATTTATTAAGAGACCAGCTGACCAAATCTAAAAAAATATCCATAATTTTCGGTTTCAGATAAAAACATAGAGGAGCAGCAAAGCTGGGAAGATAAGTGAGGGCAGGAGAGAGGGAAAAAAGTGTCTTACTCCTCCGAGAGCCGAAGGAAAAAAAAACTCAAGTAAGACTAGTGATAATTCATACTCTAATTAAGTAAAAAGTATAGAGATTAGTAAAACTACTCCTGAAAGTATATACTCAAGTAAATGTAACTGAGTAAATGTTACTACCCACCTCTGCCCCAACTCATATTGTACTAAATATTACATCTCACAATATTTTAAAGGCTTGATCAAAACACCTACAAGTATCAATTAAAATATATATTTTTTCTTTCTAATTTTTATGAATTTATTGCAACTTATTGTCTTGAGTGAAAATTTGCAGTAGATTCCCCCAAATTAAACTCTTGTCACCACAGCTCTTCTGCTGGAGCTACTAAGAGTAAACAAAACCAAAATCAACAAAAGGKAGGAAATGTAAAACACAATGAAAATGAGGGGAAAAAAACTTTCCGACCCAGCTTGTACCTTCAGGCTCAGATCAATTCTCCAGGAGAAATGTTCTTGTAAATCATCCACCGATTGCTGCTTTCAATACTCCCTTACAGATTCAAATCAAATGCGGGTCTTGGCATGATGGATGGGTTAAATTGGGCTTTTTCAGCGGCTGCAGAAAGATGCATGCTTGATTTATTATTGATTCCTCCCTGAAACTGCTCCATTCCTTTCATTTCAAACCTCTCTACATGAAAAATTCAAAAGACCTGAAGAAGATCTTCAATGCTAAATGTTGTAAGGCTCCTTGGCACGTCAGTCCTAGACTTGATCATGAATTGAATATTGATGTCAGGTAAACGGGTTAGCCTTTGTTTTAGTGCATCATGTTTTCTTTGACCTGTTGGAACTCTTGCATTTATCCCTRCTAAACAATGTACAGCTGAGTGAGGCAAACCTGACTGGTAATTCAGTACTTTATCACCCTTCTGATCCACAGCAGTTGTCTGCAGCACTGAAGTGTTGGTTTTATAGTACTATATACTATATACTGTATATATATATATATATATATATATATATATATATACTGTATATAGTGTCTTCAACCACCTCAGTCATTTAAAGAAATAAAAGAGTTGTAAGTTATGCAAAAACAAGAAATCATGTTTCACTCAAATGCTGGTGGTGGCCATCTTGGATTTTTACATCACATATATGCATATGCTGCAGGGTAGTCAGTGGTGGTCTTGACCACCTATATATTAATCTTCAAGCACCTCAGTCATTTAAAGAAATTATACTTTTAAGTGACTTTTAAGTTTAATCAATATAAAAATTAGAAAGAATTGTTTTTGTTTTATTTTATTTTTTCAAAGGATTGGAACATCTGGTTAAACATGCACAGTATCTCACAAAAGTGAATACACTCCTATTTTGTAAATATGTCTTGACATCACAGAAGATGTGACACTTGCAGTATTACGAATGTACAGCTTGTGTAACAGTGTAAATTCCCTGTCCCCTTAAAACAATTCACACAGCTGTTAAAGCAGGGGACCCCAAACTTTTTCCTGTAAGGGCCAAATAACTTTTCCCTTCTCTGGTGGGGGGCCGGAGTCAGTTTGTAACAGAAAAAGTGTGACTATTGCAGGAGTGCCTAAATGTAAAAAAAAGTTGTTTTCCAGAAAGCACAATCAAATAACCCTCTCTGGGTTCTTCACAGTATGTATTCTGCTGAGCTAACAGTCCACTTTTTAGCTTTGAGAGTTTGTTTGCTCTCATTTGTCCTTGCAAGTTATCATACTTGTCTTTGTGACGGGATTCATAGTGTTGTCACAGATTGTATTCTTTGAATACCGCCACTGCCTCTTGACAGATGAACAAAAAAAWAATCGTTTGTCCACTGCAGCTTAAATGTCCTGCATTCTGAATCAATTTTTCTCTTACCTAATCTTTTCRCCATTATTCYRTTCTCTCTTTGAGAGGGGCGGGTTTAGGATTTTTTTCTGGGGGTTGCCAGATAGGGGCACAGACCGCAGAAGGGTGGAACAGAATGTCACGTTATATGTGTTTATGTATGAAATAGTTACAAACTAATGATAGTTAATAATGAAAATAGTTCATAACTAAGGAATATTTTATTGCAAAAGCCCAACTTTATAATCAAATATAAATACACATGTATAAAATAAACTAAATGCTCTCTGGTATTGTTCTGGGGGCCGGACCAAATGGGGAGGCGGGCCGGATTCGGCCCGCAGGCCGCCGTTTGGGGACCACTGTGTTAAAGTATAAACCTCTGAAGGTAATGGTAGTTAGCCAGCTTTCAGGTTTTGACATAGCAGCCCCATTTTGGATTTAAACCTCTCACATCCAGATGTAGCTACACAGATGGAATTTGGTGCCTGACTTATTTTTCAGGTTCTCCTGCTAACAGGACAGAGCTTTTCCAAGTTCCCCCTTCTCTTTGTAACGAGGAACAAAAATGAGGCCTGTTTTTCTTTTTTAGCTTCCGTCAATCTGCTCAATCAACATTCTTCCAATCAGCAATCAACACTCCAAGATGATCTGTATTCTCACAGAACAGAATATTGCTTTATGGGTATTTGGGGAAAAAGAAGTGTTTGGCATATTCAGCAAAATCTTGAAAAAGAAAAAAGAAACATTCACATTAATAGGAAACATTGGAARCATTAGGGAAGTAAAAATATGTATAATAATCATGAGCAAAAACTGTAAAACACTGTTTTGTTTTTAAACCCTAACAGTTTTGGACAGACCTTGCAAATGTGTGCAATGTCATGATGGAAAAGCCTTTCAGTGCTTAGCAGTTATGCCAAAATGACTCTATCATGTGAAATATCAAGCTGCTTAAAAACRTTTTAAGATGATTTTTGTGTCAGCTTGAGTTGTGACAACCTTCAAAGCTAATCACTGGTTACTTTTAGAGTTCCATTAAACTCCGTCCAGTTTGATCTATTTTAACTTTACAAACTGATGAAATCGTTTACTACTGAGGAACTACTCAGTAACTACTCAGGGACTACTGAGTAGTTACCAATGACACCAAAGAGTAACCACTGAGTAGTCCCTGAGTAGTTCAGCTTTTTTGTGTGTTATATTTTTTCTCCATAGTATGAAAATATCATCTGAAAACCCACATAGGAAATTTGTGTAAAATTATTATAATTTTTTTCGTTATGTTTAATCACCCTCTGTTTTGCACTTACTGACCATTTCAGGTACAAATCTGCCGTAGTTCAATTCAAATATTTAGTTTCCAGCAAACTTAACATTTATGGATTTCGACCTGGAAAGACTCGCACACAGAAAGACGGCAGAGAAACAGTTTTGTTAACAAAAGAAAATTGTTTGGCGCTCGGGCCCCGGCAGAAGACGTGGGTGCTGCACACTACTGTGAGCTAGTGATCAACTTGAGTTTAGGATCGTCTTTCCCCACGGGGCCTGGACACTGGTGGTGGTAAGGAGGCCGGAGAGTGGAGGAAGCCTAGAAGAGCTAGAGGCTGAAGGTGGAGGTCGAACACGTCTGAGGAGCGGGCGACCCTAAAACCTGGATCTGGGTGAGGTGATTGGTACRACAGGGTGAGGAACTGACGTTAACTGCAGCTGGGCGTGAGGCACGGCGATCGGATGGAGTAGGTGAGGTGGAAGGAGTCTTCCAGTCTGAATTTATGCACAAGATTCATTTTATAAAATGTTTGGAATTCACAATTATATATATTTTTTCTGAATATACCAATTTGTTTTTTCCCTTCAAAACACATTGCACATTTTTTGCATATAAAATACCCATCAACACACAAACACAAAATGAATGTGTAGTTCTCTGCTTATATGACTTCAACTACAGCTGACTTAAAATAAAAGAAAATAATGAATTTAAAAAGGAAACACTGCCATCTTGTGGTCAAAGCAGAGACAACTCCAAAGTGAAGAGAGGAAAAATAACATTTACTTCTTAGATCCAGCTTTGTTTACAAAATGTTCAAGTTTGCACAAAAAAATCATCTCAGCAGACAAGACTGAAGTGAYGATCAGAGCAGGCGGATTCATCGAGACTCTAGTCCTGAAAAGAAAAAAAAAGATGCATCATTTATGTTTTATAACAACTGGTGAAAACAGACTAAACAAAATAAATATAATTCAAAAGCAGCAAATCTTTTAAGCATCACATGATTTTTTCTGTCTGATGGGTTTTATCGGACTCTCCCACTTTGGGTTTGGTTTGTTGACAACTCATAAAACACTATGACAACTACAACAGGTAAAACAAGTACTAAACACGTCAACATTTTTCTCAGTAAATATATTACTAGAGGTGCTAATGACATGAAATTTTCACCAGATGTTGGTAACAACCCAAGTGATCCATACAT